AACAAATATATTTTGTTCCGGGAACAAATATATTTTGTTCCGGGAACAAATATATTTTGTTCCGGGAACTAATCTATTTTGTTCCGGGAACAAATCTATTTTGTTCCGGGAACAATTATATTTTGTTCCGGGAACAAATATATTTCAAAACAATCTAATTTACTTTTATTTCGAACTCAATCAATTTAATTTATATGGTTGAAATCAATCTAATATAATTTTATTTAAAAAATGGATTTTGTTCCGGGAACAAATATATTTTGTTCCGGGAACAATTATATTTTGTTCCGGGAACAATTATATTTTGTTCCGGAACAAATATATTTCAAAACAATCTAATTTACTTTTATTTTGAACTCAATCAATTTAATTCATATGGTTGAAATCAATCTAATATAGTTTTATTTAAAAATTGGATTCTGTTCCGGGAACAATTATATTTGGTTCCGGGAACAAATATATTTTGTTCCGGGAACAAATATATTTTGTTCCGGGAACAAATATATTTCAAAACAATCTAATTTACTTTTATTTCGAACTCAATCAATTTAATTCATATGGTTGAAATCAATCTAATATAGTTTTATTTAAAAATTGGATTTTGTTCCGGGAACAAATATATTTTGTTCCGGGAACAAATATATTTTGTTCCGGGAACAAATATATTTTGTTCCGGGAACAAATATATTTTGTTCCGGGAACAAATATATTTTGTTCCGGGAACAAATCTATTTTGTTCCGGGAACAATTATATTTGGTTCCGGGAACAATTATATTTTGTTCCGGGAACAATTATATTTTGTTCCGGGAACAAATATATTTCAAAACAATCTAATTTACTTTTATTTCGAACTCAATCAATTTAATTCATATGGTTGAAATCAATCTAATATAGTTTTATTTAAAAATTGGATTTTGTTCCGGGAACAATTATATTTTGTTCCGGGAACAAATCTATTTTGTTCCGGGAACAATTATATTTTGTTCCGGGAACAAATATATTTCAAAACAATCTAATTTACTTTTATTTCGAACTCAATCAATTTAATTCATATGGTTGAAATCAATCTAATATAGTTTTATTTAAAAACTAGCATGCCTTCGGCTCGCTTCGCTCGCCTCGGCATACTACCCAAGCACTAAATTTGCCTTGTTCACCCGGGGCATTCGTACCGTGCGTCAGTTACGAACACACGAAACAGAATACGGAGCTAAAGACGCTCGGTGCAAATGCTCTGGACGAACAGTGTAATTTGAGTGCTTGGGTAGTTTCTTCCAATATTTCTATATTTTTTTACGTATTGGACGGTTACTCGCTCGCTTCGCTCGCTCGTAACCTTACCCTTTAATATTAAAATGGAATTTACATCCGTAAGTCTAACTTGTCCGCCCTGTTTCCAAATTTCTTCCTTTGCCGAATGAATTTTCATTCCCCGAAAGAGATATTGAACATGCACTGGTAGTGCAGTACTAATTCAATAAACAGTAAAGTTTTTGGCCAATTAATAGAGTATTGACGTATGAGCAAGGGTATGGCATGCTATGTAATATGTTGGCGAATAAAAACCTTACAAATCTGTCGGAATATACCTTATAATTCTATGAACAAAATTACACAAATATGAGATAGTCAATACGAAATTGTATTTCAGATTCTATCCGATAGATGGCGTTACGGTTTGGCACGTCGCCGTGTCTCTCATATACGTGCAATTCACTTGCGTATAAGTAGTTCAAAATCAGAGCATCTTGATTTGCTGCTGCTCAGCATATAGCTGAGAGCTGAGAAATGCTGAACTCGTGCGGTTAACGCATACGAAATGGATGACACGCACACATGCATTCTCCCCGTTTAAACGGTTATAAACAGATGTTTGGTCGTTCAATTCAAAACTCAAAACTTAGTAACCAGTTGAGTTTGAAATTGTGTTGCGACCGACATATGAGAAGCTGCGAGAAAAACATCACGTCGCATCCCTCGTTATTTTGCTTACGTAAGTGAAAGCAAGAGATGAGATGCGACGTGCTGTTTTTGCTCTCAGTCTTCCATATATTCTGAAAGTGTACGTCTAACGCATACGAAACGGAAGCACGATACATATTCCCCTTTCACTGGCGCACACTACCCAGGGGGTCAAAGTACCCGATTGGGCTCAAACTT